GTCTTCAGGGAAAGGGCCGAAGGTCAAGCAATTCCGCGCCAGCGCGCAGCTGCAGTTGTTTCACCCCCGCTACTTCGGAGGTTCCTCATGAGTGTCTCGGAAAGCCTTGTGTTCTCACAATTGTTTGCCGTGTCGGTCATTTTCTTTGGCAAGGGTACGTACGCGCGCCCACGCGCGCAATCCATGTCAATTACACTCCCAAGCAAGGCGTTCTTCCTATAGATGGATGGGCGTGCTGTGTGGTCACTGAGTAAGGTCATGGTGTGGGGCGCGTTGAAGCTGATCGCGCGTGCCACGCTGCCCGGGTTTGACACAGTGGAGCTGTTCCTTAGACCCCATCACATCGCCACCGACTTTGTTTCTCTACTCGACAGTGCTCGGAAGGCATTTCAGGACTTGGCTGCGCGGCACTCGTGTAAGCTTTTTGACGAAGTGCCTGTCATTGTCGTCGATGGCAAATGGAGCTTGCAGCTCTCTGTGTGCAACGAGCGGGGGTCTGGCTTAGTGTGGAGCTCCAGCTTGCGCACCGGCTTCTTGAGCGGTTGCACTGCCCGCCCGGTGCGTGGAAGCAAGTGTTGCCAGCAGCACCAGCCTCCAGCCGAAGAAGCACCCCGTGGACCGCAGCTCTCCAGCCATCGTGAAGTCGTTCGGGGCTATTCGATTGTCTTGCAGTACGACACTGGTGACGGGGCTTGGGCTCACGCAGCAGACCTGCCCGTCAGCGCCGTGCGCCACTACGAGGTCAACTCACTCCCTAAGAAGACAGCTTCCGCGCAGAGGCCAGCGGAAGAGTGCTGGGCCGATGTCCGTCGAGGCACGCCTGAGCCAAGCATTGGCCGCAAGTCCGCGGGCATGCTGATAGCGGTTTCGCCCTGCCTCCAGATTTTGGGGCTGCGGCCAACGTACTCCACGGAGTCGATCACGCAGGTCTTGCTCTTTGTGCAGCACGTGCTTGTGTACATGGTCCACGTGTCGTGGGTAGTGTACGACTTTGCTTGCGGAGTGGTCCGCCACATGCGCACGCAATGTCGCCAGCGTGCTGGGAAGCCGGAGGAGACTGAATGGCGGAGGATGGCCGGCCTCAGGTGGGTCATCGATAAGCTCCATTTTCAAGGCCACAAAGGTTGTCGAAACCCTACCTCTACGTGGTTCCTGCCGGATGTCAACCCTTATACTGCTCGATTGGATATGGCAAGGCCTCGTTGTTTACCTAAGCGGTGTTTTTTCTAAGTGACCTGTTCTTTGACCTGCTGCTGTTCTTTCTCGTGCGCTGCTAGGCCCATACTGTGCTTCGTGGAGTTGACACCGAGGCCGCAGAGCAAATGTTTCACAGTGTGTCCAAGTGGCAGGACAGCTTGTCCAGCGCCCACCCGGTTCACAATGAGCTGCTCTTGCTTGTCTTCAGTCACGAACACAATTCCCGGCACGAGTGCCAGCAGGCATGGGACACCTACCGCGGGCGGCAGAGCGCCCCGTCCACGGCACACGCTGCGCCTACATGCGGGGATGAGACCTGCAGCCAGCCTGTTGCTCCAGCAAAGCGAAGGCGCCAGCAAACAGAAGCAGCGAGGTGCTGTGACGCCTCTGGTGCTGAGGCTGCAGCGGCGCCAGTGCAGCCGGCAGAAGTCGCAGCGGTGCCACTGCAGCCAGTGGCTGCAGATCGTGGTTTTTTCTGGGCTGCGATGCGCGTGGTTGTGACGCTGCCAACCGGCATGTGCAATCGAGGTGACGCCACAGTCCCTGGCGCAGTTGCTGTTTGGCTGTGCAGGGGCCTGGACCGCAGGAGGAATCGCGCAACACGGATCGCGGACCTGCGGGGCCTAACCTCAGCAAGCTTGTGGCACCTGCTTTGGGCAGCGCCTGCAACTTAACGTAGAAGACTAGCAGCTGGCAGCGAGCAACAGGAAAAATTATGCGCGGCTGTTGTTGCAACATGGCCGCCGCGCCCATGATCCAAGGTTCGCTCAGCTCTGCATTTACCCCGTACCCTGCCAGGCACCTGCGCGAGTCGTCCACAGCACGCACGGAGGCAAGGCCTGTCCGGCGAGGCGCGCTTGTCTTGGACGTGCTATCTACCAAGCGCATGCGTTTGTTCAACTGCGATGACGCGCGCTCTTGCCTCATTGCGAAGAATTCGCGCAGCGAACCAAAAGCTTGTCGTTCGTATACGAGCATGATGTGTACAGTTTATAGTGGCTACGACCATTTTCAAGGCTTGCGAAAGGCATCGTATGTAGCACACGACGACCACCTGGGCGCTTCCGCTCGCGACGCGGACGATAGCGCTGGCACTCTCGTTTGCAACGCATAAAGCCGGTGTGTCCTCGGGCAGCACGTGGGGCTTCGCGTGTGCTGTTTGAGCCGAAGAAGTTCGACTGAGTGTCTTCGCTGTCGCGTCAGCCAGCAGCATGCTGAGACCCTGAGCGCAGTCGGATTGACCTTTTGGCGCCTGTGTGATTGCAGATGGCTTAGGCAAGTCAAAGTACTTATCGGGGGCACTCAGAGGTATATGTTACGGTGGTTAATGGTTTGTTGTTCTGGGCTGTGAATAGTTACAGCTGGTTGTGGGTGGTTTCTGCGAGCACTTCGCCCGCCCGGTGCGGGACGCTTTCCAACAAGAAACTCACGCGCAATTCGTGCAAACGCAAGTCGCTTGCTTCTTTCAGCTTTGCGGTTCCAAGGGAAACAAACTGCAAACTTCAAAATGCAACGGGTTACTTGTTCACCCTTCGACGTGTCTAGAGTGCATGCACATATTGCAAATTGCCCCTTCAAGCCGAACAAGGAGGCAACTCTGCACCTTTGCGTTTGCAAAAAAAAACATAAAACCTTGTCACCGCTCCCCGCCAATCATAAACTTCAGACGCCTAGGTTTGGGAGGGGGGGGGCGGGGGGGCAATGAACCAATCAATCAATCTAACGTGCGAGATTGGTTGGTTGCTGGATTGATTCATTGATTGATTGACTGATTGATTGATTGATAGATTGATGGCTGGATTGATTGATTGATTGATTCATTGATTGAGTGATTGATTGATGCGGAGATCGTGCGTGTCGAAGCGCTCTCGCTGTGGCGCCGTGCGACTTTGTCTTGACCCCGGCGAACCCTCTGCGGAGATTGTGCGTGTCCAAGCGCTCTCACTGTGGCGCCGTGCGACTTTGTCTTGACCTCGGCGAACCCTCTGCGGAGAGCCGTGCGTGGTCGAAGGCTATTCGCTGTGGCGGCCCGTGAGAATTTATCTTGACCTCTGCGACCCTCTGCGAGATTGGCGTGGTCAATAGATGCGCTCTCGGCTGTTTGTTTTTGAGGCGCACGTGCGAATTTTGTTTGTCCCCGGCGATACCCCTCTGCGGAGATTGTTCGTGGTGTTGTCGAGCGCTCGCACTGTGGCGGCCCGTGTGAATTTGTCTTAAACTCGGCGAACCCTTATGCGGAGATCGTGCGTGTCGAAGCGCCTCTCGCTGTGGCGCCTGTTGCGATTATTTTGCCTGACTATTCATTGTGCCTGACCTTGGCGAACCCTCTGCGGAGATCGTGCGTGTCGAAGCGCTCTCGCTGTGGCGCCGTGCGAATTTGTCTTGACTTTGGCGAACCCTCTGCGGAGATCGTGCGTGTCGAAGCGCTCTCGCTGTGGCGCCGTGCGAATTTGTTTTGACCTCGGCGAACCCTCTGCGGAGATCGTGCGTGTCGAAGCGCTCTCGCTGTGGCGCCGTGCGACTTTATCTTGTCCCCGGCGAACCCTCTGGGGGGGCAGGGGGGGAGGGGGGAGCGGGGGGGGGGGGGAATGAATCAATCAATCTAACGGAGATCGTGCGTGTCGAAGCGCTCTCGCTGTGGCGCCGTGCGACTTTGTCTTGACCCCGGCGAACCCTCTGCGGAGATTGTGCGTGTCCAAGCGCTCTCTCTGTGGCGCCGTGCGAATTTGTCTTGACCTCGGCGAACCCTCTGCGGAGAGCGTGCGTGTCGAAGCGCTCTCGCTGTGGCGCCGTGCGAATTTATCTTGACCTCGGCGAACCCTCTGCGAAGATTGTGCGTGTCGAAGCGCTCTCGCTGTGGCGCCGTGCGAATTTGTTTTGGCCCCGGCGAACCCTCTGCGGAGATTGTGCGTGTCGAAGCGCTCTCACTGTGGCGCCGTGTGAATTTGTCTTAACCTCGGCGAACCCTATGCGGAGATCGTGCGTGTCGAAGCGCTCTCGCTGTGGCGCCGTGCGAATTTGTCCTGACCCCGGCGAACCCTCTGCGGAGATTGTGCGTGTCGAAGCGCTCTCACTGTGGCGCCGTGCGAATTTGTCTTGACCTCGGCGAACCCTCTGCGGAGATCGTGCGTGTCGAAGCGCTCTCGCTGTGGCGCCGTGCGAATTTGTTTTGACCTCGGCGAACCCTCTGCGGAGATCGTGCGTGTCGAAGCGCTCTCGCTGTGGCGCCGTGCGACTTTATCTTGTCCCCGGCGAACCCTCTGGGGGGGCAGGGGGGGAGGGGGGAGCGGGGGGGGGGGGGAATGAATCAATCAATCTAACGCACGAGCTTTTTTTTTTTGAGGGGGGGGGGGGGGGAGGGGAGGGCAAGAATCAATCTACGTACGAGCATTGGTTGTTTTTTTTTGGGGGGGGGGGGGGGGGGTGGGGGGGCAAGGAATCAATCAAACGGCGTGGGGCTCGTAATGAAAACGGGTGGTGAATTCGCCTACCCCAAAATGGGCGGCCATTGGTTTTGACGCACAGCAACACCCCCACATGTTTGCGGGAGAAAACTCTGCATACCCCCAATTCCCATTACCCTTTTGTGTTAGGGTATGATGTCGACCCTCTACTAAAAAGGGAGGTATTTGCCATGGAAACCCAGGTTGTTCAAAAAATACCCTGAAAAAAGTGGGCATTTGGAGTAGGGGGTCTCCAAAATAGATGTTGCACATACCTACCAAAATGGGTGGCCATTGGTTTGACCCACAGCCACACGGAATTTCTGGGACTACGGGGCGTTCCTTGCCGCGTTCCCCCGCCTGCGCGGGCTGCGGGCAGGCGTGCTCCTGGATCACGGCCAGCAGGTCGCGGCCCAGCACCAGGGAGTCCAACTTCTCCAAGGCCGAGGCCACAGCCTCAGGCCGCAAACTGTGGGCTCTGTCTGGGCCAGGGTTGTGGGAAATGGAATCCACTTCTATACAACAAAAAGGGCTTCCCAAAGACTAACACCCCATATACAGGGGGAGATTCCAACTTGTATCACAGAAGTGGGAATAAACCACTTGATTCCACAATCCTTTTCTGGGCTGTCCGTTTTCAGATCCGCGCAAGGTGACAAAGCTTTCGTGGGGTTAGACCATTAAGTTAAAAAAAAAAAGCACGGCATGCTCAGGAAAACGGCTGGTGGTTGAAAAGAACGATGGTTGACAAGAATGGGGAATCACCCCTAGAGAATGTGCGACCCCTCAAAAAAGGGGGCTCTCCCAACAAAGACAGACCCACATCAAAGCACGCGAAAATGAAAGGTTGGTGGGTTCCACCGAGTGGGTTTAGGTTTTTCGCTGCGAAAGATCCCTGCCTATTGAACCCATTGCCAGAATGGAAGCACTCTAGTCTTCCAACCACAGGTAGAAACATGTTCCCTTGTTTGGGATCCCCTTTACAACACCAGGTTTGTGGGGTCCATTTAGTCTTACGGGAAATGAAACCATGGAAGTTTACATGTTTTTGTTGCCTTCAAATCCGCGAAGCGCCAAACTAGGGGGAACTAGTTTTTTGGGGTAAGCCCCCTTTGGTTTTTGCTCCAAAGGGAATCTTTAAACCATCAATTTACCCATTCTGGGAGGGGGTCGAGTCTTACCGGGAATTGGAACATGAAATTCCCTGAAAAAAACCGTGGGTGTGCCCACTTCTGGAAGCCTTCCAATTGAGGGGTTCGATATCTTATAGAGGCAAGACGAGTTGGAAAAGTTTAACCCGGCATGAATACCATGCTCCAGAACTTGTCCGGCATTCAAAAATGTTTTGGGGAATCTTACTGGCTCTTCTTTTGGTGTGGCCCGGCCGCGTGCGGTTTCAGCGGTTTGAACTTGTACCAGGAAATGGGTCCAAGCTCGCCGCGGCGCGGGGGCTGAAGGCAGCTTTCGGAGGGCCGCCTCCTTTCCCACGATGAGGTTGGGGTCTGTGATGATGCGGATGGCCTGGTCGCTGGTCGCTTCAGGAAATCTACACGCAAGTCACTTGCTCAAAAAGTCGGGATCAAAAAAGGTCGTCCCAGAACCATGCTTCAAGAACTAAGAAGGCGGAGTCCCGCAGCTATTCATGGCTGGGATCATCCTTACTAACCTTCACTTACCCGGGTTTTGATTGTCCCTCACGCTAGGGGGTCCGTTATTTCAATTTCTTCACACAAAGGGTCCAAAGGCAAACCTTGCACTCCATCCGATTTGCTGAAGGCAGCCTTCGCGCTGAACGGGCGAGATCATGTTACTTCGCACGGAGCCCAGGACTCGTGAGGGAGCCCAGCAAATGAGATGTATGATCCTTACCAAGAGAACGAGTCCGAAGCTACTGTAACATTGTATACTCAGATGTCCAGTGGGCATTGGAAAAAGTGGGCATCCTTTTTTTGGTTGGTTGACTTTCAAGGGGAACCCTTCCCAAAAAAATGGAAGCAAGTTAAGCACTGAGCACCTGGGTATGGCACATCAAATATTTGTGGCGGAACTCCGGTTCCGAAAGCAAAGCTCTTGGCGCGTGCGCCGATCAATTCCCAAAGCGTGCGTAACGGAACCAGGCAACCGGTTCCATCGATTCGGACCAAGCACGCCTCCCAGATGAAAATGGGAGGGTGTTGGGTATGTGGGTAACTCCTGGAATTAGTAGTCCATTCTGGCAATTGTCCTTTTCCATGGGAAGATTGACTAGAGGAATGAAATCGGCGACTTTTCCCCCCACACCCCCTTCCCTGGGGCTGGGGGGATCCTGGCTTTCATTTGCCCTCGCCGAACCCGTGTACTGGGTCGGAGTCCAAAGCGACATCCTGGAAATCACCCGAAATTCGGTGTGTCTTAAGATCCGGAAACCCCGAAATGGCGGTCTTCCTTGTGTGTTCCCTTCAAGCCAACCCGCAAAAAGGGTACCCGGATACACTCAAAGACAAAAGACCTATGTGCCACGGTCAAAACTCCTATGGCGTATGGTCATGGTTTCCATGAAAGGAACTATTATACTGGTTCTTCAGGATCCTTACCATTAGGTGGATGACCATCCCTCTTAACCCTGAGGTGCATGTTGAGCATGATATGGTCGAAGGGGGAACCACCCCAGATCTTGTCAAAAGCAACAGTGGCCTTCCATTTGTTTTTCTGCCCCCTGGAAAAAATCAGACTCTATGTCCAGTAGTGAAATCGATTCCCTTTAAGAACAAAAACAGGGGAAAATGAAACAAATATTCATTTCAGCAAATGGAACGAGCACCTGGGCTTCCCGAAATTTCCCAGGGAGCCTTAGGGAACCCCTCGTTTGGACCACCCCTCTAGAAAACGGTTCGGATGTGGCTCTTGTGGATCCACCCCCGTATATTATTAAAAGAGTACTCAAAGATGACTAAATAAGGACCAACCGAAGAAAAAAAATGAAATCCACCCAAAAGCGCAGCTTTTGCGGACTCGTGATTCTCCGAGCCTTGAGGGGCTCCTTCTCTTGCTTCTTCACCTGGCGCTTCGAGGCCCAGCGCGCGCGGTGATTGAAGTGGCGAGGCGCTCCCATCGACAAACATGGACATGCACATGGACTTTTCAGGAAGACCATGCGTTTTCACAGGGGGTGTCTGCGTTTTTTTTGGGGGACCCCCAACAAATTGCGGTTTTCCCTTTGGTTGCCCTTTAGAACCACAAACAAACGGGGCACCGAGGCTCAAAGAGGCGCCCACAATGCTTGTTGGCTGAAGTGGCTTCTCCTCTCCGTGTTTCAACGCGAATCGAGCCCACGGATCAAACACCAGCCGCCTGGATCTCCGCAAAGCAATAACCCCAGGGTACATCAAACACAAATCTCACTTGCCCAAAGGACCGGGACATAAAAGGTCCTTTTGGGACCTCCACTAAAAATGGACCAAAACAGGAAAACCAAAAGGTCAAAAGGTCGGTTTTGAACAACTGAGATATTGGTTCAAATGATGTTTCACCCAGTGATTCCGTTTCCCTGGTTTTTGTAGGTAGCCAAGGGCTTGCCACCCTTCAAAAAGTAGGACAATTGCTGGTGGCCTACTATAGTAGCTGAGATCCACTGGGCAATATTTAGAACCTCACAATCACCTTGCAAGACTTGTTTGAGTGCATCATGTTCAGGTCACTTTGGGAAATCAAACGCCGAAACCTTTTGTAAAGCCCAGACCGATGCCAGGAATTTTCACCCCATATAAATCAACCCCAGTTTATTCATAGGGGGTATTCCCCTCCAAGTGTGATGATTGCCCACATTTCACCCAGACATGCAAAACCACCCCCTAGCAATAACCGCTTGGCTTGACTCCTAGCTTCTTGAGTAGAGAGGTTAGAATAAGGGTACCCATTTTTCCTGTAGTCTATTTTAGTAGGTGAGCCCTCCCAACCAAAAAAGAAATGGGTGAGAAAGGGCACCAATTGCTAGGGGACCTAGACTCACATGGGGTGAACCCGTAGCCTCCTGCTTCTCCACCTTCTGCACGCCGCCCCGTCCGAAGCGGTTCTCCACCACATGCACTGCGAGCTGGACCTCCTCCGAGCCTACAACTTCCACCGGCAAGGAGCCCGGTGACTCTCTTGGTGAAAAGATCCAAAAGCCATTTTACCCTCCTTTTTGAATGTGGCGTTTTTGGAGAAGCCGGATTTTTGCTGGTAAATCCTTCTGTACCCAAGTGGGCCCGGTGACTCCCTTGGCAAAAATCAGACTTGAGTCCTGCCCCAAAGGAAACTCCTACCCGCCCTTTTTGTTAAGGCTGCCATGTTAACCCTCTACTAGCCACGGAAGGATTTGCCATGAAAAATCCGGCTTTTTCCAAAAACGCCACATCAAAAAAGGGACAAATTGCTTTTGGATCTCTCCACTGACCCCTGGACTGACCCCAAAAATTGGAGAGGTCGCCGATTCCTTGCAGCTTCCCTCCCCCTTTCGGGTTTTGGAGCCCAAATGCTCAAGAACCGGAGCTTCAAATCAACCCCCACGAGCTCACGATCATTTCCGAGGGCTTCTGCGGGGCTTCTGCGGGGCTTAGTGGTGGCATTGGGCGTTGCTTCTTTGGCTTCTGGGGCCCAACAAGCAATCGCTGGTCTTCCCGCAAGCAGGCCCAGATCAAGTCAGACAAGGGCTCAGTGTTTGCCTTTCACTTGCTGCGCGGGCGGCACGCTGTATAGCAACATAAGCTGAATTGAGTCTCATGTGCAAGTGAAGCACCTTTGTCAGGCATGTTTTTTTTTTTGTTTTTCTTTTCTTTCGGGGACCGTGCACAAACATCTCAGAATAGACGTCTCCATCTCAGCTTGGGGCTCTAAGTGCTTTCCCACGGCCCCTCCCGCCTGCAGCATCCCAAATGGTTTCACCCTCCTTGATGTGCCGGCCGATGAGGAACCTGGTCCACCAGAGTTGCTTCATGTTCTGGGAGGGCTTGATCTTCGGCTGTCGCAGCTTGATCTCCTCCTTCCCTTTCTTGCCCTTCCCCTTGGCCGGAGGACCTTTGCCTCCTGGCTTGCCTGGACCTTTCCCTGGTCCTTTGGGTCCCTCCGGTTTGGCTTCCGCTGTTCCGGCACCCGGTAGCGGAGGGCCTTTAGGGCCTTTGGGACCCTTGCTTTTGCCCTTGGCCTTCGTGCCGCTCGCGTCCGCTTCAGCGGATGCGGCTTTTGGTGCGGGTGGGGGCGGGCCCTTGCTCTTGCCCTTGGCCTTCGGCGCAGCCTCAGGCGCCGCGGAGCCAGCGTCAATGGGAATCGACTCAGCCTTGGCCTCGTCCGGCTCTCTGACTGGTGCAGGGGGCGGGGGACCTTTGCCCTTCCCCTTCTTCCCCTTCTTTCCTGCTTTGCCGCTGGCGACTGCTTCTCCTTTGTCAGCAGATTCCTCATGCTGCTCCCCTCCAACAGCAGAGGCGCTTGCTTGGCTGGCAGGCGGCAAGCCATCCTGTTGTCCCTTGCCTGGCTGAACTTGTGCACCTGCACTGTCGCTGTCCTTATGGCTTGTGCTCTCGATTGTCTGTGGGCTGATAGGAAGGCCTTCAGAGATCGGCAGACCTCCTCCATCGCCGCCGGCAGGGCCTAAGCCATGACCAACTTCACCTCCAGGTCCTGTGTCTCCGCTTTGGCCGCCTGAGCCGCCACCACCCAGAGCGGCGCCGCTGTGGCCGCCTGAGCTGTCCCCGCCTACGCCGCCTGAGCCGGCCAAGCCGCCACCTCCGCCGCCTGAGCCACTGCCAACTGCACCACCCAGGATGGCGCCGCCTTGGCCGCCCAGACTGTCACTGCCTGAGCCGCCACCACCCAGAGCGGCGCCGCTTTGGCCGCCTGAGCCGTCCCCGCCTCTGCCGCCTGAGCCGGCCAAGCCGCCACCTCCGCCGCCTGAGCCACTGCCAACTGCACCACCCAAGATGGCGCCGCCTTGGCTTCCCAGACTGTCACTGCCTGAGCCGCCACCACCCAGAGCGGCGCCGCTTTGGCCGCCTGAGCCGTCCCCGCCTCTGCCGCCAGAGCCGGCCAAGCCGCCACCTCCGCCGCCTGAGCCACTGCCAACTGCACCACCCAAGATGGCGCCGCCTTGGCTGCCCAGACTGTCACTGCCTGAGCCGCCACCACCCAGAGCGGCGCCGCTTTGGCCGCCTGAGCCGTCCCCGCCTCTGCCGCCTGAGCCGGCCAAGCCGCCACCTCCGCCTGAGCCACCGTCGCCGTCTGAGCCGCCTGAGCCGCCTGAGCCGCCACCACCCAAAGCAGCGCCGTCTGAGCCGTCCCTGCCTCCGCCGCCTGAGCCACTGCCAACTGCACCACCCAAGACGGCGCCACGTTGGCCACCTGAGCCGTCGCCAGCGTCGCCGCCCAAGACGGCGCCGCTTTGGCCGCCTTGTCTGTTGTTGCTTCCTCCTCTGTCTTGGGTAGAGGCATCATCGATGTCCGGCACATCCTGCCGCATCTTGGCTGCAAGCAACATGGGTTGCGTGAAACTGCCTGCTTTGAAGAAAACTTGCAAGCATATGTTGTTGCTCCTGATTGGGGGCCTTGGCCACATGAAGAAAAATGGCACATATTTCCACGCGTCTGAAGCTAGGCTTGACAAGCGTCCCCAACATATTCACGTGCCAAGGATGCCGTAAGGCTTGCAGGCAGAAAATAAACACTCTCTGTTCGACGAAAAAGCTTGCGTCGAACTTGTGACCCCAACAAATGCATCCTCTTCGTTTTCCTTGAACACCAACCAAAATGGGGTGCCCTCAAAACACAGTGACTATGGCATAATCATTTAGAAGCAACTACCTCGTAGTCGCTCAACTGACATTGAACGTGCCAAGCACAAAGCGACAGCTAAAACATCCAAAAACATTAAATAAAGAACCCCGCCAAAGGATCATGGTATGCTCTTTTACATCCGGGTTAGCTCGCCCACAGAAAGACAGTTTTGCGCCAGTATCTGTTTGCCAGAATACTGTGGATGGACAAAATCCATTTCGCACCACCTAAGAACCCCTGGCTTCTGATTCGAATCCCCAACGCAAATACCAACAAACGTTTATGGTTTCAGCCATAGCTTCATTCCGTGGCGCGATTTCTGGATTTCGCAACTCTCCACAGTATCTAGGTCCTCCAGTAGAGAGGTCAGACTACGGGTACCCTTTTTTTTCTGTCGTCGATTTTAGTAGCGGAACCCTCCCCCAAAACAGGGGAGAGAAGGACACTACTGGGGGACCTAGACAATTTTGACACATGTGACTTGTGAAGGAAATCCTGCCGGGATGGAAATCTGTCTGGCTATGAGTATGACCTAGGTATGCCATTTTTGAAGGACCATTTTGAAGGACCAATGGGTATGACCTAGGTATGACAAAGAAGGTCGAAGGGCCCGTACATGGAAGGGGACAACCCAAGAACCCCAAACAGGCAGGGGAGAGGACCCAAGGACCTCAGGAAAGGGGACCACCCAAAGACCCCAAGATCCAAAAAGGACAGGGAGTGCCCTCCTCCAGGAAGTCCATCAAGGACATCGGCTGTGCGGGCTCGCTCTCCTCGAATCGAATGCTTCCATCGCCTAACCTCTGAGCATGCGAATCCGAAGAGGTAACAGCCAAAGTTTGTGCGACTCTAGGGTCTGCGTGGTGGTTTTGGTGGTGACCTAAATACTTGTTGATTGCCTGGAAGCATTGGCCCCAAAAACTCCTCTCTCGAACCTCACAAATGAATCCGACGGGTCACAGGCCAACATTGTTCAGTTTGAGGCCCCCTTCGAAGTCGGACATGATAGGTGATTTTCTTGCTTATTTGGGTGTGCGTCCCAGATGTCAATTATATTTGCTACTTCATACACTTCGTGTTTTTTTGGCTTCTCTTTAAACCTAGAAAATAACGTGCCGGGAAGGTTCCCCTGTCCCACAAGGCGCGCGCACCCTTGATGTCCCCACCATGCATTGGGGCTTCTGTGGTACTTTGCGTTGGACTAAACAGTTAACCCCGTGCTTTACATGGGCGCTTTTTCCCGGGCTGCATCTTCAAAAGCCAGGCTTCCCGTATAGTAAATGCTGTGGATGGACAAAAGTCTGCACCACCTAAGAAACCGTGGTTTCTGATG